CATGCGTGAGGTCTGGTGCTCCCTCCCCAGCAACCCATGACCCCAAGTCCTGGTGAGAGTGGTCTGAGTAGCCTGGGCCCCACTAGGCTCAAGAAGCATTGCCTTGCCAGGATCAGCATCCAGACGTGAGCCTGCACTGAGGCAGAACAGGGCTGAAGCAACCCTGTGAATGAACAACACAAAAACCAAAATGTAAATGAGTAAATTTTAAAGATTAAAAAACACGGATCATTTGACTAGAAAATTCTATGTGCTTATACATAGAAATCCTCAGTATTAGCAAATCAAGTCCTTCAATATTTAAAACAACTATATACTGTCTAACCTCCGGGTGGCTAGGGAGATCCCTCTTGCCTGCCGCCTGTGTTCGGTGGAATCGGGCCACTTCCCCACCCGGGACGGCCGATGCCATGGGCGGACCAAGGAGGAAATGAGAGCCAGGCTGATTGATGACCAGTTGCCGTTTCTCCCATTCTCCCCACACGCCTGTTCCATTCTCTCTAAACTCCCCATTCTACTCTCACACTGCCCCGCATTCTCGTCTCCTCCTGTCTCTCCCGCTCATCTGCTCATCTCTCCTCACACCCTCTCACAGCCACGTCTCTCCTCTCCGGGCCCACCCCACCCCTCGCCTGCTCCTGCCAACTCCCCGCATTGGGGATAGTCACCACACCCCATCAGGTGGCAGAATCAACATATCAAAGGCCCTTCAGGCTTAAGGGTGGGAAATACCACCGAGGAGTTTTTCTCCTCTTCTTAGTCCAATAACTTAACATCTTAATCGACATCTTAATTCTACTTCTTAATTTTATGTTGTATGGACACAGTCAGAGATACATTAAGCTTGTGGGGTGGCTCTCCTGAGGACATCTCACTATAGATCTCAGACTACAGTGCTCAGGCCAGATTAATCTTTCCTAACCCTAGCAGGGTACTAATCTAGATGTTACTTTTTGGATCATGAAAAAGCTTGTCCATGACCATGCTCTTAACTTATAGGTAAGTATTATGGCACTTTGGCCTGACCCATTTCGATGGCAGGGTAGCTCATTACTTGCCCTGGGTCCATTCAGTCCCTTGTCGGGATCCTGCTTTTGGGGTGCTAGGAACTAAGGGCAACTGAGGCTTAAGTTGAGGAAACAGATGCCCAGAAGTGAATATCATCCGGAGTTTATTAACTCCCAAGTTAACAAAGGCATAGTATTAACTGTCTTCTTGTGTCTATACAGAAAGGATATTGTAGCACTGTAGCACTGTCCTCCCGTTGTTCATCGATTTGCTCAAGTGGGCACCAGTAACGTCTCCATTGTGAGACCTGTTGTTACTATTTTTGGCATATCGAATATGCCACAGGGAAGCTTGCCAGGCTCTGCCATGCAGGCAGGATACTCTCGGTAGCTTGCTGGGCTCTCCGAAAGGGATGGAGGAATTGAACCTGGGTCGGCCGTGTGCAAAGCAAACGCCTACTGTGCTATCTCTCCAGGCCCCCAGCCCCCCCCAAAAAAACAATACTCTGAATTAACTATGTAAAGGACTTAAGGAGAAGAGAAAAGCAATATTTACAATAGAGCACAAGGAAAGAGGTTACAAATCAAAACAGAGGAATGGGAGCACTGTGATGGGGGTAACCCAAAAAACCTAAGCTCCCTATGGCAAGGCAGGAAGGACAAACCAATGCTATCCTACAATATACCATGACAACTTGAAATTTATCCAGGTAGACAATGTTGATTCAAGATTCAAAAATTACTCAATGTAAACCTGCATTTCACTGACTGATGAAAAGAAATCATAGGAGCTTTTCAGTGGATAAATAAAAATTGGGAAAATTCTACCATTTATATATGATAGTCTGTCTCTAGTAAGCATAAAACTTAAAAACAAAAACAGTAGCTACACTGTGGGACCAGAGAGACAGTCCAGGGTAAGGTGTTGGCTCTGCATGTACCCCAGCGTTTTTGATACCTGGCACCATATGTGGTCCTCTGAGCACCACCAGAAGTGATATCTGAGCACAGAGTAAGAAATAAGTCTTTAACACCAATTTGTGCAGCTCCACAACAACAAAAAAAGCATTTTATAAACATATAACATCAATAATGGTGAAAGGATAATTTTCCCCAATGTTGGGAACATTGTGAGACTTGTTACTGTTTTTGGCATATCAAATACGTGATGGGGATCTAGCCAGGTTCTGCGTGAGGACGGGATACTCTCCGTAGCTTGCAGGGCTCTCTGAGAGGGATGGAGGAATCGAACCTGGGTCAGCCGCCTGCAAGGCAAAGACCCTACCCATTGTGCTATTGCTTCAGTGATTATCATAAGACAAAACAAAACAAAACAAAACAAAAAAAGATTGGAGAAAAAGAAAATTATCCTTGTTCTTAGAGAACATGATTTCACATGTCATGTGTAGAAAATCCCAAGAGAGCTACAAAAACAATTTTTAAAAATGAAGAAAGTTGAGTATACTTCATAATACAAAATTAACACAAAAATTCAATTAAATCTCCATCAACAACAAATAGTCATATATTTTATGACTATAATTTTTGCTTCAGACCACATATGCATATGTATCTAGTTTGTGTAAATACACTCTATGATGTTTTCATCATGATAAAATTTCCTGACACAATTCCTAGAATAGATACTTTTCGTTATATAAGCATGAATATATATATATATATATATGTGTGTGTGTGTGTGTGTGTGTGTGTGTATGAAACTTTAAAGGGATTTGCTTTTCTTCAAAGAAAATTAAATTCTCAGGTATAAATCCCACAAAATGTATTCCTAACACGGGTTTTGTGACCTAAATCTCCGGTTTTCAGAGTCAGGGATGGGAGACCTCCTCTCATTCCTCCCATCCACCTTTTCTTCTGGGAGTCTAGCAGTCATACCCAAGAACTGCCTCTGGTGTTTCGTGATGCTTAATAGAACTCATTAACTGGCCACGATCTAGAGACTCATAAATAAATCTCAAAAGAGATCAACAACCTGCAGAGATGCTTCCGGACTCCAAAGTCACCATCCAGTTAAAAATTTAACTCCAATTATATCACCCCATTCAAAATTTTAGAAATTCTGGAGCAACAGCTCATTCTCTACACCACTAATATATCAGAAGTAGCATTCCACATTGGATGGGATGCAAAGTATAACAAAGTATAACAAACCAATCTCAATTAAGAAAATATTAACACACAAGTAACAACCTGTAACAACATGTTAGTAGTTTGTGTATAAGGGCTTAATGGCTCCAGGGGGACATTCAACAATCTTCACACATTTTCTTCTAAGGAAATTTTTTGGATCATTTTTATCTATTATTTATAACAAGCAATACAAAATAAATTATTTAGAGCCTGCTTTTGGGGCAGGCTTGGAAAATGGTTGGGAAAATTGGAAATAATGATGGTGGGAAGGTGTAATTGTACTGAGATCAATGTTGGAATTTTAAATGTAATAAATGATTACAATAATCAATATTTTATATATCTTTGTGAACAACTTAATAAAAATAAAATGCAGTTTTAAAAAACCCAAAATTTATACCTAAAATTTTATATCTAAAATTTATTTCTGAAATTAAGTAGATTTGCGTTCTCCCAAGTTACAAAATGCTACTGAAATAAATCAAGATCTAAGTGGAAAGATATTTCATGTTCAATGCTTGGAAGACTAATTATAGCGAACATTACATTTTTTTCCAAATTACACTGTACAATTAGTGTGATTCCTATTGAAATAGCAAGATGTTTTGTAGAGATTGACCATCTAGTCAAAATTTTCTGGGAGAACAGAAAACCTGTATAGCCAAAACAATTGAAAAACAACAGTGGGAGGAGAAAATTTTCCAGATGCTAAAAGTTATTAAATAGCTACAGTGGTCAGCACAGTATTTGGTGCAGGGGAAGATACAAAGATATTGTGGAACAGCTTAAGAACTCAGAAAGAGAGCCACACAACTATGGGATAAACAATTGTTTTCAAAGGTGCAAAAAAAAAAATTCATTGGAGGAAGAAATATCAATATATTTCGACATATTGATACTGATAAATGCATGACTATTTATTTCAGAGAAATGAAAACTACTGTTCACATAGAAGCCTGTACAAAACATGTTCATAGCAGCTTGATTCGTAATAGCTCCAGATTGTAAAGAACTGAAAATGCTCTATCTCCTTCTATGGGCAAATGGCAAAACAAACCACAACACCCATAGCTTGAAATACTATTCAGCAATAATAAAAATGAACGAACTACTGATACATGCAACAACCTCGATGTGTCATAACACTATGCTGAGTGGAAAAATCAAGTGAAGTATCATGGATGAGACTGAGTTCTTGTGTAAGGCAGACTTAAAGAGATGACAACATAACTAAGAACATGCGACTTGCAAAGAAGGAAGATGGTTGTGGCAGCACACGAGAGGTGAAGACATGATAGACTGAAGGTAACTAGATGAACTGGTGCCCATGCGTACACAGCTGAGTGCAACACAATGGTTGATAAATTCTAATAGTTACACAAGATGTTACTGAAGGGAGAGACCAGGGACAGGGTATGTGGGAAACTATATACTTTATTTTTTACCATTACATGTTCATATAAAATTATAGCAAATCAATGAAAACGTAGTAACGTCTAATATAAGTCAAAAGTTACTATCATGATAACTCTCTAAAGTGAAACTTGGGCACATCAGTTCAGAAATAATGCTGTTTATCTACTCAATGCTCATGCCAGGGGCTATGCTAGGTGATAAGGGATGAAAAAGCAATCACGAGTGTTGTTTTCTTAAAAAAGGAAATGGAAAGATAGCTCACTGTACACAAAGGGGTCACAACACCTCAGGGTAAGTGTGCAAACTGGACTCAGATTTCTAACAGTGAGGCTTAATAATTTTGGAATATGTGATTATTAAAATGATTAAACACTGTGATCAAAGGGAAATGTTCATAATAATGTTAAGGGTAACACCAAATCATATTTTCATTAGCATATGAAAAAGACAACTTATTTTTATATGAATACATTTTATTTAATTTTAGATCATTAGAAAGAATAAAGAATCGCAAGATAAATGCTTTCTAGACATCTGATAGTTTCTTTTGTGTCATAGTATTTTCATTTTTCTTTATAAAAAAGTATAGACATTCATTTAAATTTTTACAAAGTCAAGAACCATCAAGTGGAGAAAAATAAGTAACGCTAAAGTCAATTCAGCTTTTCGCCATATTGGTTAGACTCTGCACTTAGCCCTCTTAGAAAAAGAGCGTATGAAGCAGCTGATGGTTTCTGTATATATAAATATATCTGCACATATATTTATATATATTTATCTATGTGAAAATCAGGCGGCTACTTGTCCTCCTGCAAGTATGACTGCAAGCATGACTCTGCTTGCAGGAACAGAGGGCAAGAAGCCTAGTGTGAAGAGAGAGTGAGAAAGCATCAGCAAAGAAAAGATTCTCTGATCCAATCTTTCATCGGCATCATATCTTAAATAATTTACAACACGAATCTGGCAAGAAATCGGTTGTGTGTTGCTAAACATGTGAATTATTCAGGCAAGACAAGTTACCAGTACAAGTTCGGATCTACACAGCACAAAACCGAGAGTCTGTAAAGTATCTGATAAAGGCCAGAGCCACCGAGTCAGGTTATTAAACACAAAGGGAGTCTCTTTACAGTGGTATAAAATGCGTTTGGGCAAAATTGCGACCCTGAGCTGTGACAAATATAGGGCAGACCGCCTCCGATGCATACCTGAAGATATCTGTCTCATCTCTTTCACAGAAATAATTGGAGGGAAACAAACCAAAACAAATATCCCTGTGGTCCCTGAAACAGCCTTACTACCCTCCACTCGTCAAACACGGAGAGAGTTATCTATGGCCCGTGGGAAAGGCGTCAGAAGCTGCTCTCCTTACTGCAGGGTCAGCGAACAATCTCTGAATCACCCCTGGTCGGGGGAGGGCGCTGACCACAGTCTTTTTGTCCTTAGCCCAATGCCTTGCATATATATATATTTTTTAATACAAAAGTTTTCTTTTAAAAGTATTTTCTTAGGAAATAATGAACAGTAATTGTCATGGACCAACAACTGGCCCTAGAAAAAGAGACAGGCAAGAGAGGCAGTCTGTCCATAGAGCAATATTCCAAATATGAAATTCATGGTTTGGGAAGAGATAATATATAAAAATGAAAGGGCTTCTCAAAGAAGTTTCTCCCTCCCCCCTTTTCTTTTGAATTTTGTGTAAAAATGATACAAGAACCAGCCTTGTTATTGAGACCAGTATTAACCATCAAGCCCTCGACACAGAGTGAATTGGAAAGGCAGAACAGATCACAGGGTTGCTCACTGTTTTTCCTAAAGACACCTATCTTTTTAAAATAATTTCATTATTTAAACTCCATCTGGCACTTGAGTCTTTTGGAAAATTATTATCAAGTTAGGCATGTATTAAAGAGCAAGCCTGTCGGACTTCAGTTGCAACTTCAAGGGCTCTTCTGCTTTCCTATTCCCCCACCCCCCCTTGGCTTGGCACATCTTTGAGATCCAGCTTTGTGGACAGAATCCTGGGACATCACAGTGGGGACACCAGTCTTTCACCGAATAGTCACTGCACACATCTTGGCGACCGGGAAAATGCATTGCCTCCTCCTCCTCCTCCTCCGCCTTTTGCTGTTCTTGTTAGCCAAGAAGTGTTGAAGTGTTCCTTTGGCAGCACACCTCGACTCCACACTCCCCTGGGGGAGGGGGCGTCCCACCGATTCTTCCCTGCCCAAAGTCTACACCAGAGACCCAGCCCGGCTCTGGGCTGGCACCATAACGGGCACAGCACCAATCCGCTCCAGGGCAGCCTGGCTGACCGTGTAAGTCTGCGCGTGGGGGGGCCGAGGCTTCCTGGGGACTGAACCGTTGCTCCTGGACACAACCTGCGGTGAGGACCCTCTGTTGGCCGAGACCACCAGAGTCTTCTGCGGCACAGGGGCGAGATGGGTCCCATTGGCGTAGATGGACGGCACGGTAGCGGTGCCCGAGTGCAGAGAGAAGGACTGGCGCAGGTCGCTGAAGTGGTTGAACGACCCCATGTTCCTGCGGGCCTTGGGGTTGCTACTCCAGTACCGGCTGTTGTAGGTGTTGGAAGAGGTCAGCGTGTTGTTCTCGGAGGAGGACACCTCGGTGTGCAATGCTTTGGCAGAGGAACACTTGGGTGGAAGGTCATCCTCTCTGCAAAGGAACAAACGTCAAGATGCTGTTAGGCTTTCTTCCCTTCTCTTGGGTGGGTGGGTGGGTGGGTAGGGGGGAGCAAGGGAGTGGAAGCACATCCAGGTTGCTCAGAGCTTACTCCTGGCTTGAGGGGAGAGGGGAGGACCACATGCAGTGTCAGGCGGGTCAGCCATACCTGAGACAAGCACCTCCCCTCTCCCCAAGCCCTCTCTCCTTAGGCTCTTCTTGGGGTCTATTCCACGCCCCTTCTATCCAGCACAGCACATCTTTTCCAACTGTGAAGGCAAACATGTCTACAATATACAAATCCTTGGGACAGCTCAAACTGTTGTGAAAGCAAAGAAGGTCCTGGGGACCTCTGCTCTGACAAGTCCATTCCCTTGGAGGTATCTGTCACTGTCTTCCCATTGTTCATCGATTTGCTCCAGCGGGCCCAGTAACATCTCCATTGTGAGACTTCTTGTTACTGTGTTTGGCATATGGAATACGTTGCGGGGAGCTTGCCAGGCTTTGCCATGTGGGTGATATACCCTCGGTAGCTTGCTGAGCTCTCCGAGAGGGGCGGAGGAATTGAACCCGGGTCGGCAGGGTTGGCCGCATGCAAGGCAAATGCTCTACCGCTGTGCTATTGCTCTCCCTCAGATCTCAGTCACAAATAAAAAAAGGTATTATCTCTTAAAGGTTATCTTAAAGATTATCTTCCAGCATGAGTGAAATAGGAGTATATAATGTGCACACATTTGTATATATACATATGTGTGTATATTTATATGCATACAAGCATGTGTGTATATAAAAGTGTATATATACATTTTGGAGTATATGTATATATATATATATTTTGCTCCAAAACTATATATGGGATTATTATTTTTTGCTTAAAATAGTCCATAAAGAAATCCACTGAGAAATTTTCTAAAAGTAATTAGGCAGTCAAGCTCCTGGTAGGGGAAACTTCAAAACATGATTAGACTCTTCTATTAAAAAGATAAAATCTTAAATCAGAACAATAGTACAGTAGGTAGAATGTTTGCCTTGTATATACCCAACCTAGGTTTGATCATTGGCACCCCATATGGTCCCCCAAACCCATCGACAGGAGTGATTCTTGAGTGTAAAGGCAGGAGTAAACCCTGAGCTCTACCAGGCATGGCCCAAAAACTGAAAAAAAAAAAGATAATACCCTGACTTTCATAAAAACATGAATGCAACTTAAGGCAATTACACTAAGGTAGTGAAATAATTCAGAAGCAGAACAACAAAGATAGCAAGTTTTACTCACACGTGGAGTATAAACTAACAAAGAAAACCAACAAGATACAAGGAAAATAGCAAACTCAAAAAAAAAAAAATGAAGTGTTTGCTAGAACAAATTGAGGAAGGAAGTGCCAAGACTGGCAGGAGGCCCTGGGAATGGCACTGGGGGAGTGTGGATATATATATTTTGAGGTATGATGCTCTACCCCTGAAAAATTTTAAACTAAGGGAAGTAGCATTGTAAACTAATAGAAGAACCAAAATTTTATTTTAAAAAAATATTGGAGCAGTCTTGATATTTTTGTAGTTCAAAGTTTGAAAAATCATTGGTATATACTGATAAAATATTTTCTTTGATTATCTTACACTGTGACACGTTATCTCCCTGTATTTTCTCAAAACCACTGGAAATTAACAAGAAGTCAAGAGAAGCCATCATTTCATTAAATATACCAACTAATTCATTTAACATTTTATCGAGTTCCAGGAAGTCTACTTGATGTTTTATGTAAAAATAAATAAATAAATAAAAAATAAACAGCTCCAGAGTGCAGAAAGTTCATAGTCACTGGGGCAGCTCTAGGGGCGAGAACCTGAAGTCAAGTTAGATGAGGACGTGATGCCTGGAGTATTCTTGACTCTGACGGAGTAAAGAATTAATGAAGAGATGGATGAAAAGAGAAGGCACAGAGCAGGCAGAGACTTGATCAAAGCACAAGAAATACAACATGATTACAACAGGGGATGTGGTAAAAGCTAAAACCAGGCAAGCAAATGAGATTGAAGCCCAACGGCTGTGCACGCCAAGTAGACAGGATTCCTGAATGTATTTCCAGTAAGGAGTTGTCGTCATGGAACTTGGACTGATCCTCAACCTTCAAACTGCCACAATATTCCTAAAGTTCTTATCCCTTAAATCCCATTTTGACATTGGTTTCTCAAGACATTTATTTTCTGAACTGAGCCTTCTTTCACTCCAAGCCACCACGTTTTGGCCCATCATTGTATAAAGCTTATAGGCTCCTGTGATATTCCTGTGTTTATATTTTCCTGTGTTACAGAGACCAGTGTAAGTTATGTATTCTCAATGAACTTTTCTAAAGTGGCAGCACCTGACCCTGCCTATCCTGGAGCAGTGGAACGGGTAGAGCAAATTCCTCACTTTTATCCTCACAATTAGATGGGCACCTGCTGCATCCTCCCTGCCGCTTTAACAATCTGGGAATGAAAACCAAACAGTTCTATAAAGGACTGAGTGACATCACATGACGGAAAACACCATTGCCTACCTTAACTATCAAGGAAATCACAGTATAAGGCTGGAAAAGAAAGCTTAGCTGCCAAAATAAAAAAAATTTATAGACAGTGGTGATATAAGATGATCTGATACACATACCTTATTTCATTGGGAATTTCTTCCTCCTCCTCCTCTTTATTTTTGCTTCTCCAATAAAAAAATACTCCTAAAATTAGTGCAATGCAAAAAATGATAATAACTGCACCACTGCCAATGGCTCCAGCAATTAGTCCAAAGCTCTTGGGTTGGGCTGAAAAACATATTTAAGATGAGAGATAGCATACATGTCCATGCAACTTTATAAATATAAATTTAAATAATTTTCTTAAAATGTATAAAAATTGCCTACATATTTGTATCCATGTAAAGTCTAACCTCATTTGACTTTCTGCATTCCCAGAGGCAGGACTGATGCATGGCCAAATACACAAATACTTTCTGATAAGATAAACAATTATAATTTTCAGAGCAATTGGGGGCCCATCTACAGGACAGCAGGCGAAAGAGGGGGCCTGCCTAGCCCACTGTAGCCCTCAGACCCCCTGACACTCAGGGAGATGGCTTGTCACCTCCTTCCAGCTAGATCTCTCTCCCTTTTCAAATGGAATGCAAATAACCCAGAATTTTCAACCTAAGACAAATTGTTGAACTTATACTAACATTAAAATTCTGTAGTTATCTTTATGACCCATGTATTCCCCTGTACATAGATGTAAGGGATAAGGTTAAAGAACAAAATGGTCTTGAGACAGTTGTAGATCATTACAAATGCCTATACTGTCTACTATTATAGCACTTGAAAATCAAATTTGATACTAGAGATCCTGAGGGGAAAAGAAATCTATTTTTCAATAAAGAACATAGCATATTATTGAGGCTGGAGGGTATATTAATACGGTTATAAATCTTTTCCACAACTATTAAAATGAAATATTATTTACTCTTCAGAATGTCTACAGACAATTAACTCTTCAGTCCTTGGATTCACAAAATTCTTGGCAGAAATGTTCCAGAGTGAACATCCAAATTTTATATAGACTTACGGGAAATAACCTGGAGATCCAAAAGACAGGTGCTGGTTCCGATGGCGTTAGAAGCCACACATTGGTACAGACCTGAAGATAGAGCACTAATGTTCCGGATGGTGACGGTTCCCTGCACCTGGTCTGTCCCAGACAGAATCATCAGTGAAGACAGAAGGGAAAAATAAAAAGCAAAAGTCTGTAGATGAAAACAGATAAACTCCACAAGAACTTATTTTTTTTTTTTTGCTTTGTGGGTGACACTTGGCAATGCACAGTGGTTAATCCTGGCTCTGCACTCAGGAATTACTTCTGGCAATGCTCAGGGAATCATATGGGATGCTCTGAATCAAACCTGGGTCGGTCGCATGCAAGGCAAACACCCTACCCACAGTGCTATCGCTCCAGCCCCCACGAGAATTTTTGAGAAAGTTTTTGGCTTATTCAGAACTAAAATCATGCATCATATTACAGACCTACAACTGTGAAGGATTATTTTAAATTAAGAGCAACCTTAAATCTATTCTACCTGCAGTCCTAAATGTTAGCAGCCTTCCCTGAAGAAAGTGTGACTTTCATCTCTCCTAGACATTTTCTGATGAGTCACACCCAATATTCATTCTAAGGAAATACAGAAACATAGTTCATCTTTACTGTATTTACTGTTTTTGGCATATCAAATACACCACAGATAGCCTGCCAGGCTCTGCCATGCGGGCGGGGTACTCTCGGTAGCTTGCCAGGCTCTCCAAGAGGAATAGAGGCTTTTAGGATGGCCTCTAATCGCTCTTGCAGGTGTTCCCATGGTTCAAACCATATTTGACCATATTCAAACCATATTTTAACCCTATCAAATATGGTGAAGATGGTAATCTTGGAAGATGAGTATTAAGTGTCGCACAGTCCGGAAAGTGGCCTGGAGCGTAGTGGTGACTGGGTAGTGGAGCTAGTGGAAATAGTGGAGATCAGCCGATGAGGTATTTATCTGGTACCAGTAGGGTGGGGTTTCTGGGTGTGATCCCTGGGTCGCTGCAGATTGGTGGGAGCAGGTAGAGGATCTCTGTTTCCGGGTCCCATCGAGCCTGGAGTCCAAGGACACAAAGTTCCACTTACCTGGTTCTATGGGGCTTCACTCATGCATGAGTCTCAGCCTGAGCATCCAGAAAGCTGCCTGGAGTATGGTGGCGGCTGGGAAGTGGAGGTAGTGGAGTTATTGGTGTTCTAATAACACCAAACATTAGCTAAATGGCACAAAGGCTGGCCGACTTCAACTGTGATCGTGGAAAGGCCAGACTGCAACTGAATCTCATGAAGACAATGTTTATGAGAAACAGACTCATTCCTGATGTTCCATTTGATCTCAATGGAAAGAACATCTCTGAATGCAACAGTTATGTGTACCTAGGTCAAGAAGTCAATATGATGAATGACCTGGCACCTGAGTTGTGCAGGAGGAAGAGAGCAGCTTGGAGTGCCCTCAAGAGTGTTGAAGAAGTTACTAACAGGATGAAGAATCTCCGGCTCCGGGCACATCTTTTCAGTTCCACCATTCTTCCTGCACTAACATATGCCTCAGAGATGTGGGCCCTATGAAAACAGGATGAGAATGCTATTCGGGTCTCCCAAAGAGGAATCGAAAGAGCTATGCTTGGAGTATCACACTTCACTCAAATGAGAGAAAGAATCCGGGGTTCCGACCTCCATCGATGATCGAGATCAGGGACGCTGTTTCATTTGCCAAGGTGTCAAAAATCAGATGGGCTGGACACATAATGCGTTTTGGAGATGACCGCTAGACTAGAGCTGTTACTGACTGGATTCCACATGACGTCAAAAGATGGCATGGCCGCCCACCTATGAGATGATCAGACTTCTTCATCAAGACCCTGAAGGATCAGTCTGAGATTCTTCGTGTTCCTGGAGTGAACAGACACCATTGGGCTACACTAGTACGTGACAGGGATGAACGGAGACGTTACTGGTGTTTGCTCAAGCAAATTGATGAGTAACGGGATGCCAAGTGATCAAGTGATCAAGTTCATCTTTATAACAATTTTCACCTCATCACTGCTGGGGAAAATACTGTGTGCTGTTGACTCTTATTCCCTTCAAACAACTATTATAACTTTGTCTCAGTCCAGATCTTACATAAACAGTCTGGATGAAACTCCAGTAAAGGAGGATGGATGGGGTGAGGGAGAAGTGGCAGAGGTGTGGAGAGCCACAGGCTACAAGACCTATCTACAGTGGAGGTCTGCCCCCTGGGAAGGGACAGGGAAGGAAGAAAACCCAGAGAGGGTGTTTCTCAGTACAGCACAGATTTTTTTAATTATTATTGAACCACCGTAAGATAGCTACAAAGCTTTCATGTTTGAGTTTCAGTTACACAATGATCAAAAACCCATCCCTCCACCAGTGCACATTTTCCAGGACCAATGTCAGCAGTATCTGCCCATCCCCATCCCAATCCTCCCTGTGCCTCTATGGCAGGCAATTTTCCCCATACTTGCTCTCCTACTTTGGGCATTATGGTTTGTATTACAGATACTGAGAGGCTATCATGTTTGGTTCTTTGTCTACTTTCATCACACATCTCCTATCTTGAATGATTCTTCCAACCATCACTGACTTAGTGATTCCCTTCTCTGTTCCAGCTGCCTTCTTCACTAGCTGACGAGGCTGGCTGCCAACCATGAAGCAATATTCTTGGCCCTGTCTCTACTGTCCTTGAGTGTCAGTTTCATATTTTGTTATTTTATATTCCACAAATGAGTGCAGTCCTTCTATGTCTGTTCCTCTCTTTCTGACTCATTTCACTTAGCATGATACTCTCCATGATCACCACTTAAAAGCAAATTTCATAACTTCATCATTCCTAACAGATGTATAGTGTTCCACTGTGTAGATGTACCAAAGTTTCTTTAATCAGTTGTCTGTTCTCGGGTACTTGGGTTGTTTCCAGATTCAGGCTATTGTGTATTGTGCTGCAATGAACATGCAGGTGCAGAGCAAAGATTCATAGATGTCTCCACTAGCCTGTTGAGGAATCTTTGAGTAAAGGCCATTCCTTTAAGGATTAAGCTTGTACTAACTGTCCACTTGTTCGGTCACTGGTTAAGAGCAACAAAGGAATCTGGCCTGGGTGCCAAGCAGTGGTGGATCCCTGAGGAAGCATTTGGGACTGTCAGTCAGCTGTTTCCAGAGCAAGGGATCTGAGCAGAGTAGAGAATAAAGGTTGCAAGACTGGTATTTCCAAGGCAATTTCTAGTATCCCACAGTTTAATAATCAGTATGAGCATGACATGTTTATACCTTCTAAATAAATACAAGTTAAACATACTTGTTACTATTACATGCCAAGAACTGCTTACCTTATCTGAATCTTGAAAATGACCTTGTGAAATATTGTTGATCCCGCTGAACATGAAGAGAGACTGAGAATTTCAGTGGGTAGCAAGATTACATAGCTTGTTACATGGAATTAGACCTGGATGGATGATGGTCTCACCTCTAAGCTCTGGGCCTCACAGTCTCTCTCAGGCAGAACATAATACATTCAGTCGTCTCAACCACCCGAAATAACTGCAAGTCTAAGAGTAAATAGAAAAACCTCCAACTAACACATTTCTGTGTTAGTTGCAGCTATTTCCATCCTGGACTGACTGACTTTTAAATGGCACTAAGATCTAGTTAGCATTTTTCTAAGGGGCACCTCAAATTCTATGGAGATCTACAGAAGCAGAGAAGACTGATAAGCAAAACCAGCACAAATGTCACATCCATACTCTTACTCGTTTAACAGATATTTATTATGAAACTTTTATGCATATTAGGTAATTTCTAAGGATAGTGGTGGCAAAATGAAGAAGGAAAACTCTGTCCCTTATATCAATGAAGCAAGCAGGTAACAATTTTGCAATAAGTGGGGTAGGAGCACCACAAGACAGATGTCTGGAAGGGGGTACATAGGCACATCATGAGGATAAGCAAACTGAAGGGGCTCCAGGAATTCCAGTGGACAGTGGTGTAAGGACACTGCTATTCTGTAGGTGGTTCTAGAGTGGCAACATATATTTTGAAGAGGTATGAAAATGTTCTTTTAAAACACAGGTCTATAAAAAAGGTGTTTTTTTTTTATCCAAAAGGGTGGATCAAAAGTGCGAGGGCGAGGGGGACCTTTCTTTGCAGACAGCTGGCCTGGGTTTGATCCCTGGCACTAAGAATGGTCTTCCAGTTCACCAGAAGTAATCCCTGAGCACATAGCCAGGAGTGAGCCTGGACACTTCTAAGTATGGCCCCCAAATCAAAAACAATAAAGCAATGCACTCTCTCCACCTTTGAATATAGTATCAACAAACACATAGTGAAATTTAAAGAGTTTAAAGAAATTTAAATTTGAAGAGCATTTAAAGAGTAAAACCCATGCTCTATGGATATCTTATTTAGCCACAGCTGTATACTATGAATTTAGATGTCTGAATTATACTGTATACATTTGGTGGTATCTGGTTTGTACCTGTGTCTTATTTTCTGCTCCTAAAAAGCAAGCTTTGGGGCTGTCAATATGGGACAGACTTCCAGTGAATTCATATACTTGGGTAAGTTAGGGGGAAGCTTAATTCTCCTTTGTGTTCTATTGTTTCTCATCCCCTCATTAATGCCTTCCTATGTGCTTTCCAGTACCCTATATTATCTATAATTGTAAATGAGGGCACTTACCCCATTTGCTTCAAATCCTCATTCATTGCCCTCATTAAGATAAGTGAGCAAGTTTGTTTTATTCACCCTTTTATATTATTCTAAGAAATTACCCAGTATACAGAAAGGGGCCCCCTTAAGTGTCTACTATATTTCACACCCACTGTTAACTAAGGGCTTACACGTTTCTCATTTAATTTTTATGATGAATATATATATTCCTATCATTCAAAGATGAAAAACCTCAGAGAAGCCATGTAGTTTGTCCAAGATCACAAACTATACAATGAGTATCAGTCTATAAAATCAGGTAGATCCATATCCAAAGCTCATAATTACCACATATCTGCCTTTGAAACCACAAAGTTCTATAGGGTTCTCTATAGGGCATTGCCTAACCATGCAATGATGCTATCCTTATTATTAAACTAAGCCATCTGCCTCAC